AAATCTAGATCCTGGTTTCGATGCTTGCTCTTGTTCGTAACACACTCTGGCAGACCCATTACCCATTTTTTTAGAGTTAAAGCTATTTATCGACTCCCTGTTTAGGGAATTTCATGTGACCAACTTATTAAATTTATCTTGTGAAAATTCTTTCTACAGATATTTTGCAATGTTACTTTTTCATTAGGTCAAATTTTATTGTCACTTTTCAATGGAATATTTCATTGTCACCTGTCATTAAATCACTCGAGTAAATTACTTGTCAGTAAGTTCTGCAAGATTGGAAGTTTGTAAATATTACACCAATCATTGAAATATTAAATAACGTTCTTTCTTGCAGTCAACGACTAATCGGTTTAACAACAACAGGTAACGTAATCGTGGAATAGAAAATATTGCAAATATTTAAAAATAGGTAATACCATTTAGCACATTTATTCCTAATGTGTGGACAAGTAATGGATAACAATTCTTTATAGAACACATTCAATTCCTAAGGTGTGGGCCAATTAATTGATGATAATATTCCCTTGAGAACACAAAGTGTCCTAAATGCGTATCAATGATAGGCAATATTACCTCACAAAAGCCAGGCTCACTGGACACTAAATCACATTAAAACTATTCCCTGTACGTCTGTGCATCGCGGAAGCTGCAGTTAGCGGGAGAAGCCATCTATGATATAACTTTAGTGCCGAGACAGTTTTGTTCCCTGAAGTTCGTCTTGGCTCCGGTTATTACCGTAAACCTTAGCCAGTGCTAGATCAGCGGGAAATGCTATTGCCTTGAGACTTATAAGACGTTAATGGCATATTTTCAGCATTCCCCTCGAGGAGGACAAAGTCTTATATTTATGGAACATACAAGAAAGTCTGCTGATTTTAGCTCAAGTTATAGCCACATGCGGGCGGTGCATAGGGAGACTAGGAATTAATGGTTCAGATCCTGTCTCACAAAGGTAGGCCACAGTCAAAAGGTCCCGGGTTCCATTCCCCTGGCAGGAGGGAGGTGTTTGTTTACTTTCATCTGATGTCCCTGTCCATCTGGCTTGAAATGAGAACCTAGGAGTTAAGCAACTGTTGTGGGCGGCATCCTGAGGAGGGTAAATAGACGGACAATGTGTACCACCCGTGCTAAACAGTTTATCTACCTTGGCATTTTATCTGAAAATGTTATAGGTAGTGATCATGTCTCCCCTAACTCTTTTGTCTTCCAGCGTCGTGAGGTTTAGATCCAGTAATCTTTCTTTGTAACTCATTCCTCTCAGCTCGGGGACTACCCTGGTGGCATATCTCTGAACCTTTTCTAACTTCGTTTTGCGTTTGACTTGATATAGACTCCACAATAGAGCTTGTGTGTACTCACCTAATTCACCTAATTGTGCTTGCGGGGGTTGAGCTTTGGCTCTTTGGTCCCGCCTCTCAACTGTCAATCAACTGGTGTACAGATTCCTGAGCCTACTGGGCTCTATCATATCTACATTTGAAACTGTGTATGGAGTCAGCCTCCACCACATCACTTCCTAGTGCATTCCATTTACTAACTACTATGACACTGAAAAAGTTCTTTCTAAGTCTCTGTGGCTCATTTGAGTACTCAGCTTCCACCTGTGTCCCCTTGTTCGCGTCCCTCTAGTGTTGAATAGTTCATCCTTGTTTACCCGGTCGATTCCCCTGAGGATTTTGTAGGTTGTGATCATGTCCCCCCTTACTCTTCTGTCTTCCAGTGTCGTAAGGTGCATTTCCCGCAGCCTTTCCTCATAACTCATGCCTCTTAGTTCTGGGACCAGTCTAGCAGCATACCTTTGGACTTTTTCCAGCTTCGTCTTGTGCTTGACAAGGTACGGGCTCCATGCTGAGGCCGTATACTCCAGGATTGGTCTTACATATGTGGTGTACAAGATTCTGAATGTGTGTGTGTGTGTGTGTGTGTGTGTGTGTGTGTGTCCCCCACAAACATCACTCAAGTCACAGAGACGTCACACACACGTTTTCTCTAAAGTGATTGGAAAGTACACATTTCCCGTTTTCACTAAAAGGATATTAGAGAGAAAGAAAACAGAAATATACGGGGTAACTTATCGAGAGGACGGAGAGAGTTAAGAGAGCATAAAGCACCGAATATTAGATTTTCGGAAAAGTTCTGAGATTGAGAGGGACGGACTCCTTCCTCTGACGGACGGGAGAGGTGAAAAGGACTGAGATTTTATACATTTTAATATTGCGAGGCAGATAAAGAAAATGGAAATTATTAGGAGACAACGTTAAATCAGAACAACTCAAATGCGATTGGAAGGGATTCAAGAACGTGACAGGAGCTGGGATATGAGGTCAAGGAGCTGGGATATGAGGACAAGGAGTTGGGATATGAGGACAAGGAGCTGGGATTTGAGGACAAGGAGTTGGGATATGAGGACAAGTAGCTGGGATATGAGGACAAGGAACTGGGGTATGAGGACAAGGAGCTGGAATATGAGAACATGGAGCTGGGATATGAGAACAAGGAGCTAGGAAATGAGGACAAGGAGCTGGGAAATGAGGACAAGGAGCTGGGATTTGAAAACAAGGAGCTGGGATATGAGAACAAGGAGCTGGGATATAAAGGAGTCAATAGACAATGCACATCTCCCAGGATTAATGGAGAATCGAACTACGACTCTGTAAAAGCAGTGCCACCCCTGTATCAACCAGTCCTAGCGAATGATGAACGAGACTCTACTATAGAATTTCAGAACAAAATATTCACTCACGAAACACCGACGATACACGACAACGAAGGAAAGTAACGAGATTAACGAGAAGTTATAACGATGTTGAACAAGCTCATCGTAACTGGCACCAAAATAGTGAGATGAAAATATAAGAACGACTCAATATGTGTTTTTTTTATGCTTGGTAAGAAAAGTCACCGGAGGTCCGGAGTTAAATGCCCATGTGTGGCCTCCCATCCTAAAGTATGTTGAACTGGCCCTTAGGTACGTTGAACCGGCCTCAGATACGTTGAACAGGCCTCAGGTACGTTGAACCGGGCTCAGGTACGTTGAACAGGCCTCAGGTACGTTGAACAGGCCCTCAGGTACGTTGAACAGGCCTCAGGTACGTTGAACAAGCCTCAGGTACGTTGAACCGGGCTCAGGTACGTTGAACTAGACTCAGGTACGTTGAACAGGCCTTAAGTACGTTAAACCGGCTTCAGGTACGTTGAACTGGCTCTCAGGTACATTGAACCGGCCCTCAGGTACGTTGAACCGGGCTCAGGTACGTTAAACCGGGCTCAGGTACGTTGAACAGGCCCTCAGGTACGTTGAACCGGACTCAGGTACGTTGAACCGGACTCAGGTACGTTGAACCGGACTCAGGTACGTTGAACCGGACTCAGGTACGTTGAACAGGCCCTCAGGTACGTTGAACCGGACTCAGGTACATTGAACCGGACTCAGGTACGTTGAACCGGACTCAGGTACGTTGAACCGGACTCAGGTACGTTGAACCGGACTCAGGTACGTTGAACCGGACTCAGGTACGTTGAACCGGACTCAGGTACGCTGAACTGGCCTTCAAGTACGTTGAATTGGCCTCACGTGCTGAAAGTAGTAGGGTCTATAACCTGTGAAAAGTATATGTACCCTTCAACGTCCTCGCCACTCAATAAACAAACCTGAATTAACCTAACCTAACCCTAACGTAACCTAATCAAACCTAACCTAACCTTGCCTAATCAAACCTAATTCAATCCGCTAGGTATATGACATCATTATGACGCAACAGTGCTCATCTTGTACAGGTTTTAGACCCTTATGCTGGAACTGTTACACGTTGTGTCAGCAAGTCTGGTCAGGAGCTATTCAATTACCACTACCAACAACCACCACTGCAACCACAACCTAAGTTGGAGTGAGGGGTCAAGTTCACCACTTTGGGTTACCAGTACCACTCACCAGGAGCACTAGAGTAGACAGAAGTACCAGTATCACAGTACTATTACCACAGTACCAGTGCCACAGTACTGGCACTCACCACCACCAGGAAGAGATGGCACACTACCTGGACAGGTAAGCAGCACCAGGGAAAGCCACCAACACCGGACAACAATCAAAGAATACATAAAAAAAATTATCTCATCTCACAATTCACATTTCCTCAAAAAATTATCTCATCTCACAATTCACATTTCCTCAAAAAATTATCTCATCTCACAATTCACATTTCCTCAAAAAATTATCTCATCTCACAATTCACATTTCCTCAAAAAATTATCTAATCTCACAATTCACATTTCCTCATCATATAAGTGAAAACAAAACAAAAATCAAAACTTAATTATCACTGATGATTAATTAACACAGAGGATTATCACATACCTTAAATGATCTTCTCACTAATCTCTTCGACTTTGTGAAAAACCTCACCAATAACAGTAAAAACACAACCTATCTTCTTATAATTACAGTAACCTAACAATTTTACAATATCTATCTAGCTGGTCAAATGTACAAAAATGAACTGTTGGACTTCAAAGGTTCAAGTTTTTCATTACTGAATAAGTCGAAATTACCTATTAAAATGGCACAGTAATTAAAAAATCTTAATTTAACCTGTCCAAACAATCCATGGCCTAATATAGGACATATACGGCTATACTAGGCCTAAGAATAGTAAAGTTTGAACTCAAGCTTTTTTATCGGCTTGTACAAAACTAATGGTACGAAACGTATATATTTTTCGGTCCAACAGTACATATTGTCCATCTCGATCATATAATGGCTCCAGGTACTATCATTCTAGGATCAGATGAAAGTATCTTACTGGGCTCTGGTCTCTCTCTCTCTCTCTCTCTCTCTCTCTCTCTCTCTCTCTCTCTCTCTCTCTCTCTCTTCCAAGCAAGAATGAGATCGAGTTGGTCTATTCACCTCCGCTCTACCACACAAACTCCTTTTCCGCTGGAATCGTAAAATAACCGAGTTTTATTTTTCAACGCCCGCTTGCAAAAGTTTCTCTCACACCCTTGCTCCCCTGCAACTTCGAAGGCGAGGGGGACAATGCAGCCATTTGCTGACGACGACAAGCTGTTTCGAGGATCAGAGACCCCCTGGATAACTTCACCGACCTGGAACCGAGTTTCCAGGTTGGGGTTCAGCTTCCAGGGGAGAGACATACGAGAGGAATGCAGTCAGATTGTGCAACGCGGAGGTTTATCTGGGGTAAAGATTTGGTCAGTGTCACTACCCTTGTTGGGTGGCACTACCCTTATTGAGTGCCACACCATCATTGAGTGCCCTCCTCACCACAACAACACCGACTTGTCTGGCCTCATCATCTTCTCTCATAACACAAAACAAGCCACACCTCCCAATCTCACCAATTTTTCACTGTAAACTCAAGAGTGCTCTTAAGAATGGTGTAATTATCCCAGTATTCTTCTCCCTGTTCTCACCTGGTTGTACTCACCTAGTTGTGCTTGCGGGGGTTGAGCTCTGGCTCTTTGGTCCCGCCTCTCAACAGTCAATCAACTGATGTACAGATTCTTGAGCCAACTGGGCTCTCTCATATCTACATTTGAAACTGTGCATGGAGTCAGTCTCTACTACATCACTGCCTAATGCATTCCATCTGTTAACTATTCTGACACTGAAAAAGTTCTTTCTAACGTCTCTGTAGCTCATTTGTGTACTCAGTTTCCACCTGTGTCCCCTTGTTCGTGTACTCCCCGTGTTAAACAGTTTATCTTTATCTACCTTGTCAATTCCTCTGAGAATTTTGTAGGAAGATATCATGTCTTCCCTTACTCTTCTTTTTTCCAGCGTCGTGAGGTGCATTTCACGCAGCCTTTCCGCATAACGCATGGCTCTTAGTTCTGGGACTAACCTAGTGGCATACCTCTGAACTTCTCCAGCTTCGTCTTGTGCTTCACAAGGTACAGGCTCCATGCTGGGGCCGCATACTGCAGGATTGGTCTTACATATGTGGTATACAAGGTTCTGAATGATTCCTTATACGGGTTCCTGAAGGCGGTGCTGATGTTAGCCAGCCTCGCATACTTCGCAGATGTTACTTTTTTATGCAGGCTTCGGGAGACAGGTTTGGTGTGATGTGTTCATGAGAAAGAAAGATCAGGGGAAAACTGCTAAGCAATTACGACTATATAGCACTAGGAAGGGGTCAGGATAAGGGTCTGGGATGGGACGGAGGGGAAAGAATGGTGCCCAACACTTGTGGACAGTCGGGGATTGAACGCCGACCTGCATGAAGCGCAACCGTCTCTCTACCGTCCACCCCAAGTAGTTGGCGAGTGAGTGAGTAAGTAAGCTAGCGAACCTTTACAAAATGTCACTTCCTGAAGCTGCACCGCCAAGACTAAGGCAGCATTGTTCAACCCACAAGGAAATTGCCTAACCAACTTTCAGAAGATAATTCGTCTTCTGCATAAGACGGGAAAGACCCACGCACGAGCAGGAGGAGGAAGAAGGAAAAGAAGAAAAGAGGAAAAGGAAGAAAAGGAGATAGGAAATGGGGCGGGGATGAGAGAAGGATGGAAATACATTACTCCCTCAGATTGACGAAGATCCATTAACTCTCTTCTGCTGGAAATGCGGAACCAAGAGTAGAAATTGCACACGCAGAGATTTATAAATTGAGTCATTCATACGGGAGGACAGGGAGAGCTCTCCAGTCTCCCAAGGATGCATTAGAGACCAGACGTAGGGCGGTCTTAGAGACCAAAGAGTGACAGATTCCAGCTGTGCACACACACACACACACACACACACACACACACACACACACACACACACACACACACACACACACACACACACACACACAAAGTGTGTGTGTGTGTGACCAAAGAGCCAGAGATCAACCCCCGCAAACACAACTAGGTGAGTACACACACACACACACACACACACACACACACACACACACACACACACACACACACACACACACACACACACACACACACACACACACACACGCATATTCACACACATATTTTATATATATTGTACCTAATTGGCAAAATTGTCCAAGAAACCGAGTTTTGCTGAAAATATAATTTTTTATCTAAATTGTTTTCTGATTAAATGATAACGCTTTTCAATATATTACACATGGTTTATATATTTTTTAAATTGAGTTCACACTAACATAGAAATTTGATGAAGCCTAATCTAACCTAACCTAACCTTACATAACCTAACTCAGTAATTCATGTTCACAATATAATAATATAATTGAAATTAACCAATTCTTAAAGAAATATTAAAAAATAACGAAAATCAGTCTGCCTGTTATGCAAATCGGGCCATGCATTCTACACCAAGAAGTTCGTTCTGGGTATTAAGTTCGACATACATATAAATACATATATATACCTCCTTTCATTTAATTTTCATCAGCCCTGAAACCCATTTATACACAAACAACGCTCCTACGAAGGCAACTAAGATTACAAGGCAATATATAACAAAAAACTAATAACGCAGCGAAAAGCAACACTAATAACGTAAGCAACGCGAAATGCATATAAAGAGGTAGAAAGAGAATACAGTATATTACAAACAGAGAACAACCAAGGAAAGAAAATTCAAGAAAGAATAATTCAGAAATGGAATGGAAAGCAACTCACTGACAAAATTTCAATCATACGAATAAAATATTATTTTATATTTTGTTGTTGCAAAGTATTAGTAAATGAACCCATGAGAGCTGCAGGACCCAGGAGTAATCTAGATAATGATCTGATCTACAGTTAAACGTAAATATTATATTTCCTAATGACGTAAAAACTAGGACCCCTGAATCTTGTCGATGTATACTATACACTGTGAGGTATTCCCTATTTCTAGGTATACTCACATTAAGAGTTTACTTCAGGACTGTGTTCAGGGCTAAAGTAAACTTCCTGTTTGATTAGTAAGCTCTTGTGGTTGCTTTAATAACCATTTAGAGAATAATAAAATCTGAAACATCATTAATTCCTGGTTGGAATAATTTCGCATTCGGGTGTTCTTGTATATTTTGTCCTGAATAATACGAATCTTTTCGTACATCGAGAAACGCGAAAATGCTACGCGAAACCGGCAGCTGGAAGCCACAAGCGGCTTGATCACCGACTCAATCGCCACGGCTTGTAAACATCTCTTCCTTCTCTCTGGTCAGCGGGTGTGGTGAAACCTGTGGAAGGAAAGGCGTCTTACGAATTTTACTCACTCTTGCGGTGTTATTCACCATCTTGACTTCTATTCACTCGCGTTCTTATTCACTACCTTATTCACTCGTGTTCGTATTCTCTTGCGTTTTAGCTGGCTCTTGTTATTCATAAGTTTGCGTGTTTGTTCACTCTTTTGTGTTCTTAACTCTATCGCGGTTTTAATAAGTGAGTGTATGTGTACTCAACTAGTTTAATTCACCTAATTGTACATGCGGAGAGAAGGGGAGTGGGGGTGGGGGTTGAGCTTCGACTCTTTAGTCCCGCCTCTTAACTGTCAATTAACTGGTGCACAAGCTCTCGGTCAAACTGGGCTCTATCATATCTACAGTTGAAACCGTGGAAGGAGTTTGTCTCCACCACATCACGTCCTAATGTATTCCATGTGTGTGTGTGTGTGTGTGTGTGTGTGTGTGTGTGTGTGTGTGTGTGTGTGTGTGTGTGTGTGTGTGTGTGTGTGTGTGTGTGTGTGTGTGTGTGCATATCGTGTTCCAAGTAAGAACATAGTACAGAAATATACATAGGCACAATGCCTCCTGAAGGCATTACATTACTGAAGCATTACATTACCGTTAGCAAACAGCCGTTCCTCGTTATTGGCGGTTAGAGTCAAGACAACGTTATGCCTTGATGCTAAGGCATTACGTTAGCTGGAGGATGATACAGATCCTCCTCATCCTCTTAGGATCATACAGATCCTAAGGCAATGATAACTGGATCTTCAAGATTTTTCCAGTCTACTAGACGAGCCAGCAAGATTACATATTGCTCGGAATTATGTATTTATGTATTGAAAGTGTCATAGGTATATCATTGTAAATTACAGAAATAATTTCATTGTTAAGGATTTTGTTATACTCTAAAATTATATAAATTATATTCTTTACTCTAAAATATTGTGTTCACTGGTTTTCTATATTGGGCAATTTTATTTTAATTATGTCAAGTAGATCTATTGCTCCGGTTGATCTATCGCTGCGGGGATCTTATCACTACGCTTGATACATCGCTGATTATAATCTATCGCTGAGGATGATCTATCGCTGCGGTCTGACGTTACGTTGGAAGGTCAAACGACTCTGGGTATGTATAAAATCTACGCCATGAATAGCAAATAATAATTTAAATCGTTGATGATAACGTCGAGATTGATCGACATGCTGTACAGAGTTGTACAGCAGAGATATTGTTGCTGTGTCGCTGTCGTCTTCATCAACACCTCCCACTCGATACACCTTTCTGGCTATTTACATTTATTAGTGTTATAAACATACCCCCAAAAACACAACAATTTATAATCCTTGTGTTCGCGAGCGTGACGAGCAAAGGGATGAATTCTCTATAGATACAAAGAGCATGCGAAATCTGTAATTTGCGAGAGAGAGAGAGAGAGAGAGAGAGAGAGAGAGAGAGAGAGAGAGAGAGAGAGAGAGAGAGAGAGAGAGAGAGAGAGAGAGAGAGAGAGAGAGAAGAGAGAGAGAGAGAGAGAGAGAAGAAAGGCAAAGATAAGCAAAGGCACAAAACTGTACCAGCCTCAGGAGGACAGTTGACTTGACAAGGAGAAAAATTCAGCGGTTCCTTCAATTTCTCGCCGCTTCCTCCAAGGCTTCATCTCCTCCCTCCCTCTCTCCCTCCCTGCCTTCCTCTCCTCCATCACCATCCTCCTCCTTCCTGCTCCTCCTTTTCCTTACCATCACCACAGCGTTACATCCACCCACTCGTCACTGCTGGATAACGGAAACCTTTTTCATGGTGGCTGGAAAACAAGGAGTGTGTATTTTCTGCCAAACTGGAAGGAACTTGACTCCCTGAAGGTAAAAAAAGGAGGAAAGGGGGAGGGAGACTTTTCCTCTACAGAGAGTGAGTGATATGGATGCTTCTCTGGAAGGGTGTTTGGTTTGGTTGTGGGCTTAAAGCCTATCCACCTCTGGAAGAGTATTCAA